TTTGTTTTCCTTGCATGGGGAGATATGTTCATGAAGAAGTTGCTTATGTTTATGCCCAAGAGATTTTTGCCTGTGTTTTTTTCCAAGAGTTTTATGGTTTCATGGCTTACATTCAGGTCTTTGATCAATTTCAAATTTACTTTTGTGTATGGGGTTAGAGAATGATCCAGTTTCATTCACTTACATGTAGCTGTCCAGTTTTGCCAGTGCCAGCTGTTGAAGAGGCTGTCATTTCCCCATTGTATATCCATGGCTCCTTTATCATATATTAATTGACCACATATGTTTGGGTTAATATCTGGACTCTCTATTCTGTTCCACTGGTCTATGGGTCTGTTCTTGTGCCAGTACCAAATTGTCTTGATTACTGTGGCTCTGTAGTAGAGCTTGAAGTTATGAAGTTATGAAGCGAGATCCCCCTGCTTTTTTCTTCCTTCTCAGTATGGTTTGGCTATTCAGAGTCTTTTGTGGTTCCATATAAATTTTAGAACTATTTTTTCCAGTTTGTTGAAGAATACTGTTGATATTTTGATAGGAATTACATTGAATCTGTAGATTGCTTTAGGTTGATATCTTTTTGTACAGTTTTTTCCATCATAAATTTGTATTAAGAAGTTTTCCTGAAAGTGCGTTCATATTAGTATGTACCTTAGACAACTTGACATTAAAAGCAAGCAGTTGCCCTTTGAATTAAAAGTGGAATATTCATCTGGGAGATTATCTACCTTCCTAGTTCTCTCATTAACATTTTTGCTCATCAGAACCATTGCTGCTTGGTCTTTCATGCCTTTAAACAACCCAGCTATCAATTGATTTATCTATGTTCCTCTGCCAAGGACACCTTTCTGAACCTCACACTCACCACTCAGAGGTTATCATCACTGTAAATCTGCACACTTTTCTCATTTATTTTAATGTACTGAAGTTGTACAAAGGAAAAAAGAGAAAGTATATTGAGAAACAAACTGTATGAGAAGATGAATAAGTCCTAGACTCTTAACCTAAAATGTTTAGTTATGAGACTGTCTCCCCATTCCACAGAAGCATGGATGTTAGGGGACATCATTCTTGATTTGAAGAGATCATCACTTCTCTACAAGATAATGTCTTTGCCTCAACATTGTTTTCACAATAGAACACTATATTAAGTGTTAGTATTTTCTAATACCTCTTTTCCCTTTATTTTCAGGTTGTCTTTGTAGATGATGTCAATATGCCTGCTCGAGAGATGTATGGGGCTCAGCCCCCCATCGAGTTACTTAGACAGTGGCTAGATCACTGGAATTGGTATGACCTGAAAGATTGTTCTATGATTAAACTAGTGGACGTTCAAATCATGTGTGCAATGGGACCTCCAGGTACATCTTCTGAGTTTGTGATTACTAAGATTGAAAATCACTCTGCCTTTATCTAAAAAGCTAGAGAAAGAAAGAAATTCAACTGAGTTTGAGTTACCATGCTTTGCGTATATGTTTTCTCTGCATGTACATTGTGACCTAAGGGAGTGAGCCACAGTCGTTGAAACTGTAAAGTGGGTTGCCTTGCTTGGGGTCCTTTTTCTCTCACCTCCTAGGCCTTTGTTCTCCATTTCTAGTCCTTGCATTCTGAGAATGCCCCAGCTCATTTCCCTCTGTTTCATTCCTTAATGTTTCAACTACATGGAATGTCCCTGCATCAGAGATTATCTTTCCTCCACTCCAGTCAAGTCCCAGTCTCGTGAGTCTCTATTTAGGCAGGCTGTTGAGAGGAAATTAAGTAGGAAATAGCCAAAAGAACTAACTCTTAAAGAACCTTTACATTTTCTAAGAGGAATTTATAAACTCAAAGGAATCTCTGTGCAGGAGAAATTTTTTATACTGGGGTATATCCCAAATGGCTTGATTCAACTACAGCTTTTCTTCCTGCTATTCGATTTTTTAAAAAATTTTCTTGATAGATAATTTCTTCAGGGACTCCATCCAATATTTGCTTAACCCCTTGACCTTATCTGACCCTTAAGGCAGAGTTCACACTGAGGCAGTAATTGCTCTCAGCACACGTCCTGGGCCACTTCAGTTCTACTTTGCCTCTACCCCACCACCCAAGCCTATTGTTGGTGTTCTCTGCCCACTTTTCCCTGCCTCCTCAGAGACTTTTCTTCAGGGACTCCATCCAATATTTGCTTACCCCTTGACCTTATCTGACCCTTAAGGCAGAGTTCACACTGAGGCAGTAATTGCTCTCAGCACACGTCCTGGGCCACTTCAGTTCTACTTTGCCTCTACCCCACCACCCAAGCCTATTGTTGGTGTTCTCTGCCCACTTTTCCCTGCCTCCTCAGAGACTGGACAGAGGAGTAGGCTGAATCCCTGGGGTATCTTTTCCTCTTGGACCCCATTTCTAAAAGTGCTGGGAGGAATGTTTGAAGACAGAACTGGGAGATAGGATCTCTCACCTTTCCTTCTGCAACCCTCTCACCATCTCATTAAACTTGCCCAGGTATATCAGTGTTCATTATATGTTTCTAACTACATAGCTATACATAGCTGTTTTGATCTATAGACTACTAGTTTTATGCTTTCACATATTACTCATATTTTCAGAATCAGCACTGTATAATTCAGTGATAAAAACAAAATACATATTTACCTAGTTTTAAATAAACATAAAACATGGATTTCACTTATATGTGGAATCTAAAGCAAAACAAAAAAAAATGAAAAAGACCCATAAATATTGAAAACAGACTATTGGTAATCACAGGGAAGGTTTTGGGTGGTGGGGTGGTGAGATAGGTGAAGGGAACAAAAAGGTACAAACTTCAAATTATATAATAAATTTGTTAGAGGAATGGAAGTACAACATAGAAAATATAACCAATAATATTGTAATATCTTGGTATGGTAACTGTACACTAGGTGAGCATTTAGTAATGTATATAATTATATCTGTGGAACATTTGAAAACAATGAAATTTTGTTTATCAACCATATTCCAATAAAATGTTTAATAAGTGAACCTATATGAGAATATTAGAGATATTTGTACTTTTAAAATCACTTCTTTACAAAAGATTTCATAATAAAACACCTTTGTAAAGCAAATGAAATTTGTCTATATATTTTTAAATTATAATATCAATTTTGTAAAATGATGTGTTACCTTCCAATTCAGAATTAAATCTTCATATTTGAAAATGTGATTATTATTGTATTAAAGTGATTTAATCCCCAAATTTTGAAAAATGCAAGCAGCCAGTGAAGGGGCCACATAAACCAAATAGACTAGTCTTAGGGAAATTCATTTCAAGATGTGGGGGAAAATTAGGCCATATGCCAAGGTTATGCTGAATTTCATCCATATGGGAAGGACCCTGAAGTTTGATCAGTCAGGCTCACCAGGGTTTCTTCCTTTCTTTCTTTCTAAAGTAAGAAATATTGTAATATTGTATATTATATTAATATATATAATTAAAATATTGTATATTATATTAATATTGTATAATATTGTATCTTAATATTGTAATGAGGACATGTAGCATTTACTGCTTTGGACTATGAGTCATGAAGAAGGTGGCCACTGGCTTTCTCTGTCTGGTCTGTTTCCTTTAGTAAATAGACCTGACCCAAGATTATGTCTAATTAGTTGAACTCAATCAGATAATTCAACTTGGAAAATAACACCTTGAGTTTGAGGGGAAAACTGTTTTGAAGTCAGGGTTACCCAAATATTTGATTACTCTTAACTTCTCTGCATGCTGTGAACTTGTCCATTTTTCAAGTTGTTTTATGATGCAAAATATTGGGAAAATAGTATACACTAGTAACATTGTTAAGAGTTATTCTTTTTCAATATTTAGGTGGTGGTCGAAATCCAGTAACTCCTCGATACATGCGACATTTCAATATTATAACAATTAATGAGTTTAGTGATAAATCCATGTTTACAATCTTCTCTAGAATCTTAACCTGGCATTTAAAAATCTGGTAAGTGAAGTAAGGTGTGTTTGTTTTTTCATTAAGGGGTATAAAATCTTTTGGAAACATATACATGAGCAGTGCTTCTTAAACTTTTTCATGAAAGCCTCCCTAGACAAGGAAAAGATAACAGGTAACCTTGCTCCCCTCTGCAGCTCCCACCTCCAGTCATGGGGAGTTAACACAAAGGGGCCAGCATATCTTTCTCTTTTTCTTTTTTCTTTGAAGTTTTTGGATGTTAGCCCAAAAAACTATGCAATGTTTGCATTCTGTTGTTTAATATGTCCATGACGGGATTATCAGTATTTTGAATTTTCACCACAAGTAGTACAGTTAATGCTGGACAGATATGCCAGGTGTATCCTTTGACCTTGATATCCTGCACTAGAACTCTTGAGTTCCTTAGGGGTGTCCATGTCCAGGTTTGAGTGTAGCATTGGAGCGCGTACCCTGGGGAAATGTTTCTCCCTAGCTCTGGACACTCAGCGCTTCTCCACAAGATTTGCAGAAGTCAGGGCACCAAGAGAACCAGGGCAGTGCAAGTTTTGCCTCCCTAGTGTCCATCCTCAGGAAATTGTCATTCCTTCCCTGTCCGTTGAGGACAGAGAAGGACAGCTGGCTCCTTGCTGAGCCACGGTAAAGACAGCAGGTTTTACCAAATGGATACTCTTCCACCATGTGCTTTCTACCCTAATTATGCTCTTGGCCCATTTTTTTGAGGCAGTCTTTATTTCACTTTCTCTCTTTTCTTTTTTTCACTCTCCTTTTTCTTTTTCTTGTTTTCTTATTTTTTCTGTATTTTCATTTTCTTCCTTCCCATTCTGAAAACAGCCATCTTACAAATGCTCTTCTGAGATTCTCTCTATATGCAATTGAGAATGGGAGAGAAAGAGGCCAGGACACATTTGTCTAGTGGGTGCTGGATTTAGATGACAAAATCTGGGTTGCTTGGCTGGCTCACTTACTTAAAGTTTTAAGTCTATTAATTGGTTCTGCTCATTAATGGAGTTACTTTGAACATAAAATAAAATAATGAATGCAAAATAGCTTTAAAAGAAGTAAAAATTCTATTTATAGCAAGAAATGGTAATTTTGAAAACTAAATTGATCTAATCATTTTAGAATAAAAATTTTATGCTAGTTGTGCTAACTGTCACTTAGGTATTATTATAATTCTGTATTTGCTAACATTTTTATTTCCTTTTATTTAAAAAATTTTTTTAAGTTATAAATTTCCAGATGATTTTCTAGATCTGACCACACAGATCGTTAATGGTACAATGACTTTGTATAAAGAAGCAATGAAGAATCTCTTGCCTACGCCAGCTAAATCACACTACTTGTTCAACCTCCGTGATTTCTCTCGGGTCATTCAGGGTGTGTGTTTGTCAAGACCTGAAACAGCAGAAACCAAAGAAGCGATTAAACGTCTTTGGGTTCATGAGGTAAATTTCTGTGTTACTGAAATATGATTATGCAAGAATCAAAGATTTTACCATCCCAGGACCTGAGAAATTCAGTTTGCATTGATGAAATGCATTAAGCTATTTGGCAATATGAAGGCCAATGGTCCAGATAATTTTTTAAAGTATTTAACACTAGTAAATTTTTTGATGTTTAAAATCCTTTATCTCTTATTTTTAGGAATGTCTGCTGATTTATAGGATACTTCGAAGTAGGTATCACTTTAGGTCAGTCTCTGTTAAGTGACTTAATCCTCTTAGTTTGGCTTCAAATACTTTTGAGATGAACACTTTTTAAGGAGCTAGTTTTATAAGAAGTGACTATTTATTTATATTACTTGTATTACTAGGTGCCAAAAGATCTTCAAAGCAAACCAAGTTTGAAAGCATAGAAACTGCATAAAAATATATGTTAAGTTCTCTTTGGAAGCTGTATGTGGAACTTGAAGTTTACTTGTAAAACTTTATAGGAGGGAGAGAATACAGAAATTAAAACATCAAAAATAATAGTTCAATATTTTAAAAATAGGCAAAGAATATGGGAAAGTGGGAGGAAAAATGTTCTTCCATTTTTAATATGTAAGTAATACAGTTCTTTTGATTTTAATAGTGTAGTTATATAGGAAATGAGAATGTGCTGCTGTTAAAACTATGTGCCACAAAGACCTAAGTTTCAAAAGGGCTTTTAAAAATTCTGTTTCTTTAGGCTTTTCGACCTATAATTTGAACTCCTAAATCTTTATGCATTCAAATATATGTCCAACTAAATGTCCACTCCATCTGGAAATTTTGGCCCCAGCAAGGTCTCTAAATCTAATTCTTTGGAAAGTATGATCTGTAGGTTCTTATTCTCCACTGTAGGCCATTTAGTTGCTTGAGTGGAGTCCCTGTTCTTGGACATGGACACAGGCTCTAAGTTGGGTAGACCACATGGGTAACAGAAATATGCTGAAAGCTGGAGAGGGGGAGATGCAAGAGGGAGGAATGCAGTGACATCACTGGAGGAGCCTTTTCATTGCATTGCCTAAGGCACCTTCTGTCAAGGGCCCAGTCTTACCCTAGAAGCATCTAGTGTCCTCCAACTCAGGAACTTTGCCCTGGATATTCCTCTGCCTGGAATGCTCTTCCCCTCCATTATCCACAAGTCTTGCCCACTTAGCTCCTTAAGATCTCTGGTCAAATATCCCCTCACCATAGAGCTCTCTGTGGACCATCTCTACCCCTATAGCTCTTGATCCTTTATCTTGCTTCATTTTTCATAACATTGAAGGTCATATGACACAGTCTAAATTTTTGCTTACTTACTGTGTCTACTATAATAGAAGTTTTATGAGGGCAGCACTCAATAAATATTGTTGAATTAGTGCATAAAGGGAGGAAGCAAAGAGCCTTTCTATAATGTAATATGCTTTGTCACTTGGGATGATATAGATAGATAGATTAGATAGATAGATAGATAGATAGATAGATAGATAGATAGATAGATAGATAGATAGATAGATAGATAGATAGATCAATACTATACTGTCTTGACTGTCAAGTTATTGAGTTTTGACAATGGTTGTTAAGCTTTTTGAGTATTTAGTGAAGTGCATAATATAAATTTTTGTGACTGTTTCATGTTTATATATCATAATGAATGTATGTCCTCACCTCAAAACCTTGCAGTAGCACCTTACTTTCCTGGGAAGAATTTAGAATAAAAGTTCAGGGGGCCCAAAAGACATCATATGTGTATACGTCTTCCTTAGTTCCCCCCAGGCTGCCTTCTGCTCTCACCCTCATCAATCCTTCAACACAGGCCTCCTGGCTGTTTTTTCTGCCTGGAATGTTCCTCCCCCCAGATACTGGTCCTCTGGCCTTGCTTCCTACTGCTTTTGATCAAATCTCTCATCAATGAGGCCCACACTGGCCACTCTATTGAAGCTATAACTCACAATCCACTAGCAGTTCCAGCCTTTCCTGACTTGCTCAGTTTTTCTTCTTTCCAAAGTATTTCCACAGCATTTATCAACTTCCTGCCATTTAACTTTATTGTCCATCTCCCTCATATAGGATGCAAGCTCCATGCAAATAGAGATTTTTTTTTCTCACTGAGTTATCCACAGGGCTGAGAACAGTGCTAGGCACATTGTTTTCAATGGTTCAAAAAAGTATGAAGTGATTATACTCAACACTATAATTTGTGCTGTATGTTTACTCCAAATTTCCTTAGGCTCTAATATATATTAGATGCTAGGCATCTTTTTATTTTCCAGATACTTTTACCAAGCTAGAAGAACTAATATAATTTCACTAAATGTTTTCAAGGTGTAAAAGTGGCTTACTATCTCACATTCTCTTTGGCTTCTCCAGGACTCTTATACATTAGTGTGCATAATATTTGGTTTGCTTGCTAAATATAGATATTCTACACAAGCAACCCAAGCAAAAGACAGATAATGACAATTGTTGATGAAGATGGTGGAGGAATTACAACACTCATATATCACTTTGGGACTGTAATATGGAATAGCCACTTTGGAAAACAATTTAGCAATTCCTCAAAATGTTAAACATAGAGTTACCATTGGACCCTGCAATTCCTAGCTATATACCCCAGAAAACTGAAAACATATGTCCACACAAACACTTCATATGAATGTATTAGCAGAATTATTCATAATAGTCAAAAAGTGCAAACATTCAAATACAAAATAAGTGTACTAGAAATTACCTCCTTTGCAATGATTTAGAATTATAATAGAAAATTTTACATGTCAACTTTTAAAAATGTAAGGAATGGCAGTAGAATAATAGTCTTCTGTTAGGGATGGAGGAGAGTGGGTATCAATAGAAGTGAAAATGGGGGAACCTGCTAAGGTGCTGGAAATGTTCCGTATCTTGATCTTGGTTACATGGGTGTATAAATGTGTGAAAATTCTTGGAGCTGTACACTTAAGATTTTTTTACTTTATATAAGGAAACAAAAAAAGGAAAAACATGAAAGGATATATCAGGTACCATTCTCTAAGTTTTTAAGTCAACAGGTACAGAGTGGGGCCCTGGAGTCTACCTTTTAGCAAGTAGCGCAGATAATTCCATGCAGGTACCTTGACAATATTGAAAAACACTTGCCTTAGGTTCTTGCCAGCTAGATAACAACATACTTGATTCATGCATAGGCCCTGATGCCTGGTATATGAGGTTGGCTCAATCTAATTCCCTTCTCCCACAGGAAAATTGTACAAGGTCTTCAGTACATCAGTTCAAGGACATGACTATTGACATATGTTGGAAAACTAGATTATCCTATAGAGAAATAGCTTTTGAACTGGGTGGAGTAGAGGGGAGACTTCAATCATACCATTTGCCTGTGCAGCCAGCAGTGCTAGAAAGGGGATGACACTGTTATGTCATCAGCTTGACAACAGTGAAAACACTGAAATCATTGCGCTCAAACACCATTAGGCTGATTCTAAGAGAGTTTGTAGTAATTGTCTGTGGTGTTTTCACATATGTTTTCATTTTATTTTTTGTCACACATCTGTGAGATTTGCAACGCAGGCATTACTACTACTATTTTGTAGGTGAATAAGCTGATGCAGACAGGTTTATGTCATTTCCCCAGAATGTCAGAAGTTTTGCTGACAAAAATATGCACTGCTTATATCATATGTGTATTGTTCTTCTAGTGCTGCCATAACAAAATACCACAGACTGTGTGGCCTAAGCAACATGTATTTATTTTCTCATTGTTCTGGCAGGAGTCTGAGATCAACATGCCAGCAGTACGGTTCTAGTGAGATTCTCTGGGTCTCCCTTCCAGAAGGCTGCCTTCTCACCGTGTCCTCACACTGCAAAACAAACATGCCTATCACCTAAGACATCCCCTCCATTTCTAGAAAATGAGCTTTTTATTAAAATATATATATATATATTGATTTGACAATGATTTTCAAAATGTTATCTGGCTTGAAAAAAGGAAAGATCATAGCAAGGGAGTTGGAAAACCCTGGATTCCAGTTCCCAGATCTACAGCTGGGTGACCAGCCAAGGCAGTCACTTACCTCAGCCCTTTTTTAAAATTTTCTAGTCCTCCATACTCTTTTCATCTCTATAATATGCTTTAGTCCCCCCAAAGCTCCTTTATTATTGATAACTGAAATAACTGCATATCATTTCAAATATATATGATCAAAATTAATATTTAAAATAAACTACTGTGAGTCAGTCTTGATTGTTTAGGTATGGTTTTAATAAAACCCACAGAAATTTCCTGAGAGTACTTTTTATATTGAAATTAGCACAGAAATAAAACAAAAAAATTGAAGGATCCATTCCTAAAGCTGCCTTTTAATTATTATGCAGGTCCTTAGGGTATATTATGATCGCCTTCTAGATAATGCAGACAGAAGTTGGCTTATCAAGTACATTCAAGAAATTTTGAGACAATATATGGAAGAAGATTTTCATGGGCTTTTTCAAGGTTTGGATTTTGATAATGATGGAGTGGTGGAAGAAGATGACTTACGCAGCCTAATGTTCTGTGATTTCCATGATCCCAAGAGGGAGGATACCAACTACAGAGAAGTCGCAAGTGTAGATAATCTTCGGGTGATAGTAGAAGCTCATTTAGAAGAATACAACAATATGAGCAAAAAAACTATGAACCTTGTCTTATTTCGATTTGCCATAGAACACATTAGCAGAATTTCCAGGATCCTGAAGCAGCCTCGCAGCCACGCTCTCCTGGTTGGTGTTGGAGGGAGTGGAAGGCAGTCTGTCACCAGATTAGCTGCCCACATGGCTGATTATGCAGTTTTCCAGGTTGAAATCTCCAAAGGCTATGGCACCTCTGAGTGGCATGAAGATCTAAAGGTTATCTTAAGGAAGTGTGCCGAGGGTGACATGCAGGGTGTCTTCCTGTTTACAGATACTCAGATTAAAAGGGAGTCATTTCTGGAAGATGTGAACAATCTGCTAAATGCTGGGGAGATCCCAAATCTCTTTGAATTAGATGAGAAGCAGGAGATATGCGATAAGATGCGTCAGTTAGATCGCCAACGGGATAAAACCAAACAAACAGATGGAAGCCCCATAGCTCTTTTCAACATGTTTATTGATCGCTGCCGCAACCAACTGCATGTTGTCCTCGCCATGAGTCCCATTGGAGATACATTTCGGATTCGTCTTAGAAAGTTCCCTGCTCTTGTCAACTGCTGTACCATTGACTGGTTTCAGGTATTGACATGTAAACTTTAGATAGACTTCTAGAAATGTTGAATCTTCATCATCATCATCATGACTTATTTTATAGACTTCCCCCAAAATGTACTTTAGTAGAATTTTCTGATTAACAGTAGTGTATTTTATGAAATGATAATTGAAGGAATTATCATACTAGAAAAGCATTTTAGACTAATGTATACAGTCATTAACCTTAATGAATTATAGAAAGTTTTAGTGTAAAGTTTAATATCAGTCAGGGTTCTGACAGGAAACAGAGCAAGCACACTGGAAGGCTTTACTATGGAACGTTGAATGAAAGGAATGTTAATGGAGGTGTAGACAGGATTAAAAGAACTGAGAAGGGATGGTGGAACTATCAGTATGTGGTAGAACATAGCAGGAAGTTGTTACTATAGCTCGATATAAAAAGGTATAAGGAGGAAAGAGTGTTACTGTAGTTTGGAGTTGTGGAAGTAGGACTGCCTGAGAGGAACAGGAACCCAGGACCTAGAACTCATCTCCTGCTAGAAAGAAAGGGAGGGTATAAAAACCCTTACCTTTCTCTTTTCCCACCCTCCAATCTCTTTCAATTAGCCAAAGTGATGTTTTGTAGTGAACTTCAGCATCAGGAAGCACAGAACAGGGTGTGAGGTAGGAAATCTGTGGACTGTGGCAGAGATCCTGTGAGATCTAACACGTAAGCATTCTGATTTTGGAAAATTCATATAGTCCTCCTGTTCCTCCATTTCCTGTTAAAATCAAGCATTCCATGCAAGTCATACTTATTGAACCCTTTGTAACAAGTGTTATTCTGAAAGCTGGAAATGAAGAAGAAAATGAAATAGGCAAGGCTTCTCCTTTCTTTGACTTTCCTTTATACAAACAAATTAGCAAAAATAAATCTATCATGTACAGCAGCACATAGTGAGTAAAAGGTTTTCTGAATAGGTAGCCTTTAAGAGGAAACAGAAAAGACAAAAAGTGCCAGTACTGAGAGAATCTGGGCAGATAGAATGAACTGGGGAAGGTAAGTGGCTAAATACAAAGAATGAGAGGGTAAAAGAAAATCAGTGATGAGAGCAGAGTAACTGAGGGGGAATAGAGTTGAGGTCAGAAAGGTGGGAAGGGCCAGACCTGGTAGATATTTACAAGCTGGTTTGGGATTTTATTTTAAATATACTGGGAAGTCTTCATAGGATTATAAATTGGGGAGTGTGATACGAGCTGACTTACATTTTGAAAAGATCATTGTGGCATCTGTACAGAGCACACAAACAGGGAGAGAAGTTAGGACACTATTAAAATATTCCACAAAGATAATAAGGAGTTGGATTGAGATGGTTGTTGTAGAAACAGAGGATATTTCTATAAAATAAAGGGAGAGGATTTGGAAACTATTTTAGGGCTGGTGCCCATAGAACTTGCTTGTGGGGGATATAGGTTGAAGGAGAGAGGAGTCAGTGAAGATTCTTGTGTTTGATGTAAGCAAGCGGGTAGATGATAATGATGTTTACTAAGTCGGGGAAGACTGCAACTATTTTGAGGGTGATAAGAACAACATTTTGGACTTGGTAAGTTTAAGATGTCTATAAGAGAAATCAAAGAGTTAGTTGTTCATATAATTATGGAGTTTAGGGGAAAATATAGTAATGTTTACTTCAGAGAACTATTGAAAGAATTAAATGAGGAATACCAGTGAATGCACACAGAAATGAACATTCTGTAAGTTTAGTTCCTTTCCTCTTCCTTGTCCCTGCAGTGCTCATGAACAATTTCTCTAGCCCTTGAACAAACCATGAAGATTTATTATTATGTGTACTAGCTGCTCTTGCCCTAAGCAAGAGAGTACCCGGATGGGGGGGAGCTTCTCATGAAAGTGTGTCCCACCCCATCCATTTCCCTCCATTTCTAACATCCATAAACTGTAAAAGACTGCAATAGTAATTTTTACTGATAACTTTAATCAAGTGCTAAAGCATTTATCTTAAATTTAGTCATGGCCTGAAGATGCACTGCAGGCAGTCGCCTCACGTTTCTTGGAAGAAATTGAAATGTCAGAGGAAATACGAGAAGGCTGTATTGACATGTGTAAGAGCTTCCACACTTCTACTGTAGATTTATCAACATCCTTCTATGTTGAACTTCAGAGATACAATTATGTGACTCCTACCTCTTATCTTGAATTAATCTCTACCTTCAAAGTGTTGTTGGAAAAGAAAAGAAGGTAAAGATGAAATTTCATATTTCAAAGTAGGCTATGGGGGCTTAAAAATATTTGTGTGTATATGACATGGATATGATAAAATAGATATTTATTTCATACATATACATATACTGTGGGTTTTGTAAATGTTTAAATGATTCACTCCACAGTCGTCTTTAGGGTAGGGAGCCGGTCTTACTCTTCTGTACAGATGTAGTGCATAGCACACTGTGAATGAATAATCATGTTGTTTGAAGGAATGAAAGTGTGCCACTCAGATCTGTGGTAAGGCCCCAGGACACTTTGACAATGATATTGAGTAAATATCACCTAAGAGTACTTTTTGTTTGATAAATAATTAGATAATAGATTAAATTTCCTCTTTAGGTAGCAAACAGCTGAAACCCAGAGATAGCCACTCAATATACCTTGTCAGCTTTCCTTCTTTAAATCAACTCCCATTTGATAACATCAACATACACTTCAGCAAGGCCATGTACTATAGAATGTGTCAGTGTGAATTTTGAGGGTGACTTTTACATGGAGAAAAGTTTACTCAAATTTTTCTTTGGTTCTAAGAATTAATATATTATGAAATGTAAAAAACTTTAAGCTAGAAAGTTAGAAAGTTAGAAATTTTAGTGATCACCTTTAAGGTCATCTTCAACTAATGTTTGGTCACACTCAGAAAGTTAAATAAATTTTTTCATTGCATTTGTAATTTTTAATAGTTTTTATTTCCTTTTGGTGTCTGATTTAACAAATCAAACTTTCCTAGGTACTTACATAATTTATAAAATCTAGTAAGTTAAATTTATATAACTAAAAATTAATATAGTGACTCTTAAGTTCTTTTAAATGTTTGAATATTATTTATAAACTTAATGAGATTTTTAACTTAAAAACACAAACCTATTGCTCAGTAACACAATTTATACTGGACTACAAGGCTGATCTATTAATCTAGCAGGACAAATTCTTTTAAATATTAAAAATAATACTTAAAACACCCTAGATTCCTTGATACAAATTTTAATACTGTTTAGTTTTTGCATATTAACTATAGCTAATTCTAAATCTTCCTGTTGCTAACCCACTACCTCAGGTGTTTTGAAGCACCTTTTCTCTTATTGTCCAGAATGCTGCCCAGCTACTGGTAGGACCTTCCTCATCTGTATTTATAGTGAGTATTGTAATGCCCTCTGTGTAGCTAGGGTGTATTTCCTACTCACCATTGTCTATATACCATTGAATCATACCATTAGTATTTTTCCCATCTATCTAGTGAAACCTGCAACTCTTACCCCAGTCTATTACATGGATTGGATGAATTTTATCATGTCTTTGGCTGTCAAAATACTTATCTTCCATGAAGATCTTATGATCTTTAACTTAATGAAATCTTGCACTTTATTTCCTTCATATTTTCCCATCCAGGAGGATCAAAATTTTGGATATCATTTATGTTTCTGTTTGCATACCCACAATGTTTAAGGCCATTCTAACTGGAAGAACGATTATGAAAATAAGATATAAACTTACAGGAAGGTTGCAAAAATCATTTTCTGAGCATTTTTAGGTATTCTTATTTGCCTTTACAATTTTCCTCTCTTTAAAAAAAATTTTGCTTTACTTCAACTAGAATTCCCATCCTGTAGTTATTCTTCCCTTAATTGCAAAAGCCTTCAGATCATTTTATAGCCAGGCAGTACTAAACCTAGAAGCGAATGATCAGGTCTCCTTCCAGGAAACCAGTAGTTTAACTGGCAAAGGGTCACGTGGGAGGAACCACAATACTGGAACTGCTTCATGCTGGCAGGAGTGAGACCTTTCTTGTGCTTGCTCTGCAAGATTTCAACTGAAACCCAACTCACAGATAATGTTGTGTATCCAGTCCCTTGACTTTCCATTCCTGTCATCTAGTTTGCTAGAGGGAATCAACATGACAAAATGTAGCATGTCCTCACTTCTAAATGGTCCTTTTCCCCTGTGACAGTATCTTTGGCGTTCTCCTGGTTACCTGTTCCAGGTTAAGCCAGTTAAGCACTCACTCGAGTGTGCTTTTGCCTTTAGACAATTATACTGCCTCATTACCTACTCCGACCTACTTTCTGAAGCAGAGTTCTAAAATGTGTCATTTGTTACTTCAAACATTATGGTGTATCAAATATTTAAAGTGAAGCAAATTATAAAGTAAAAGAGTTTTCTCTACATTAAATGTATAATTATCTATAGAACATATATGAATACAGATAAAAAGTTAAAGTACATTAGAATAATATATCTCTAATCAGTTATTATTACCTTGTAATCATTTTGCACAAAAAGTATGTTGAGCTTCATTGTCTATTTTTATATCACTTTTGTCTTAATAAAAAATTTTTATTTCAAGATACTGAGTACATCTTAAAATCATTTGCCGCCTTTAGCAACATTCAAAATAATATATTTTCAGCACTGAAGTCTATTAAAAAGAAGTGATTATCAAAAGGCGGTAAGGAATAATATGGTTGCTGGAATAAACTTCCCAAAGTGACTAATTGTAGAGGTATACCATTCATTTTAATATATGAGGCTCCTTGCCTTATACCTAGTGTATAATAAATACAGCAACTTCTGAATTTCTGTTATATGCCCAGATATTGTGCAAAGTACTGGAAATACAAATGTGAACCAGACATACTATCTGCTCTTTGTTTTTATTAAGGTATTATTGATATACACTCTTACGAACGTTTCACATGAAAACACAATGTGGTTACTACAATCACCCATGTTACTGTGTCCACTATCTGCTCTTAATTGTACACAATCCAATGTTCTGAAGTTCTATTTTTTTTCCACAAATTGTTACTATATGCAAAAATCTTTCAGGTTACTCCTTTGGTTATACCTGGAAAAAAGCCTGAAAAGCTCAAGAACACTTAAATTTTCCTTGAAATAAGATATCAAACCTGACAAGTAACCTTGTTCTAACTGTTTGCTTTCAGTGAGGTAATGAAAATGAAGAAGAGGTATGAGGTGGGCTTGGATAAACTGGATTCTGCTGCGTCTCAAGTGGCCACAATGCAACTCGAGTTGGAAGCTCTACATCCTCAGTTAAAAGTTGCTAGCAAAGAGGTTGACGAAATGATGGTAATCATTGAGAGGGAGTCTGTAGAAGTTGCCAAGACCGAAAAGATAGTAAAAGCTGATGAAACTGTAGCAAATGAACAAGCTATGGCTTCTAAAGCCATCAAAGACGAATGTGACGCTGACCTGGCAGGGGCCCTACCGATATTAGAGTCAGCCCTTTCTGCCCTTGATACTCTCACTGCACAGGTAAGAGCACTGCCACACACTTGCTGGGAAGCATGTCATTGTAGCTCACTAGAGGACTTACCGTTGTGTGCTATAACCAGCCTGTGTTTCCAAATTAGTCTCTACCTTTAAAGCAACTGAAATAATTTTCAAATTGGCAAAAGGATTCCATAATTCACCTGAAAAAAAGAAATGCTTGTGCATGACTGAGATAATTTTGGAAAATAAGAAAACTGCCAAATATTATAACCTATCATAAAGCAACTCTTATTTCAGGAACCTTTTCCTAACAACCTTGTGCTACAATAATGTACAGAAGAACAAGACCCAAGTATATATTTTGATTCTAAGGTGCATCTTTTTAATACTTACACACTTTTGTGACTGGGATGTGCCTTAAGGTAGATGTGATCATGTGAAATGTTTGTTAGTGGGTTTTTTAAGCCATACATAAGATAATTACACAATTTATGATGTTATATTTTATAATAGCATATTTTAGATTTGATGAAATGTGGTATTAGAAATTCAGATGTGAAAGGGGAACATTTCAAGAAAGATAAGGGTGAATTTTTTTAAATGAAGTGTTGGGATTCTTGGCCAAACTTTTAGGATGGGGTAGGAGAGTGTTAGATCCTTTCTTCACACTCTCCTCCAAAATAGATTTCAGAGTGATTGAAATTTAAATATAGTTGTAGATCATGTTTATAATCTTGGAAAAGACTAAGATTTCTTAGGTTTGAGAGAAATCAGAAAAAAGCTAAGCAATATTATTTGTAATATGTATGCTCTGAATACTCTTTTTTTTCATAATCAATAACTTTTTTAAGTTATAAATTTTAGTAACTAAAAACCAACACATTTTATTTGATATAAACACCATGGACAAAAGTATAGAGCACTGGGGGAAAATATTTGAATTACATGGCAAACGAAAGAAGAATATGCCTCTATGTAAAAAGCTCTTACAAATCAAGAAAAAAGGTAGTTGTAAGATAAGATAGTAAATAATTTAAAGAAACAATTTACAGAAGAAGAAATACAAATAGTCAATAAGTATGTGAAAGTATATTCTGCCTCACTTATATTTAAGGAAATGCAGAATGAAATAAGATTTCTCTTGCCTATCAGAATGCCTATCAGTGTTGTTAAGGGTGTATGTAGTAAAACAGGTACCTTTATATACTTTCTGGAAAACAATTTGTCAATATGTGTCAAAGCCTTAAAAATATAAGACATAAATTCCTTGATTCAACATAGCAATTATAATAGTAAAAAATAGAGAAAAAGCATAGATAGGGTATAAGAATTATGGTTTATGTTTATATGTCAGAAGATTGTCAGCTATTAAAAATGATACAGATGTTTACTAGCATGAAAGAATGTTCACTATATATTATTGAAATAGAATAGGTTTTAAGACATCATGTATGGTATGTACACTATGATTCCACTGGTTGAAATATAGCATATACACTGGTTTGTAGCATATACACATAGAAAAAGATATAGAAGAATATCAATGAAATTGATCACAGTAGTTAACTACATATTATGGGATTACAGGGAACCTTCATATGTATAACTTCTTTGTATTTTTCTAACGTTTGCATCTATTTCTTTTATAGTTTTGTTTGTTTGTTGCTTTTAGACCTAAGTGGGGCAAGAACAGGGCACATTGCTGAAATCCAGGTGAATAATGATGTTGCCATAGTATTTTAAAAAGATGTCCTTACTAAATATTAGCCACTTAATTTTTTTTTTACAGATGTTCTTTGTAATTTCTTTTTTAATTGAAGTATAGTTGAAAAATAAAATGTTATATTAGTTTCAGGTATACAATATAGTTACTCAGCAATTATAATACATTACAAAATACTCACCTTATATAAATGTAGTTACCATCTATCAACAAGCAAAGTTATTGTAATATTACTGACTGTATTCTCCGTATTATACTTTTTATCCCCATGACAAATTTATCTTATAATTGGAAGTTTGCACCTCTTTATCTGTTGTCCCTATTTTGATCATCCCCCATATATGTTACTTTTATAGTTTTTAGGTACCAATGAAACTTAATTTGTAATAGCCAAATCTCTTTTATGTGTTTTTGAAGTGACTTCATGTCACAAGTAATCTCACATAGGGCATCTTCCCATTGTTTTATTTTGTTTTTAACTTTAACTTTGGGACCAACTTCTTAATATTTTTTGACACAGTTCTATCACTGTTACCATTTTTACCCAATGAATGGAGTCAGTTTCTATATCCTACAGCTTGGTTTGAAAATGGGAGCCATTACAAGTCATGCATAAACAAACAATTCTTTTTTTAATAATTTGCATGTTGTTGTTTCAAGGACATCACGGTGGTAAAATCCATGAAGAGTCCCCCTGCTGGAGTCAAGCTTGTTATGGAAGCTATATGTATCCTGAAAGGCATCAAAGCTGACAAAATCCCCGACCCCACAGGTTCAGGGAAAAAAATAGAGGATTTCTGGGGTCCAGCTAAGAGACTTCTTGGTGACATTCGATTTCTACAGTCACTTCATGAATATGACAAGGACAACATTCCTCCAGCTTATATGAATATCATAAGAAAAAATTATATTCCAAATCCAGATTTCATTCCAGAGAAGATTAGAAATGCGTCCACAGCAGCTGAAGGACTATGCAAATGGGTCATAGCAATGGATTCATATGATAAGTAAGTACTGACAGAAAAAAAGCTAATAGATATGTTTTATGTTCACGTTTGGTCATTTAGATAACGTAAAGCTTAAACGCTATGCAAGCGAGAGGCTTTTCAGAAAATCATGCCTTAAACATGCTATGTGTTTATGTATTTACTGAAGGCAAGACCATACCAATTAAATAGTGTGACACAAACTTTTTTGGACTCAAGAACTCTTTATACTCTTAAAAATTATTGAAGACTGACCCTAAAAACTTTATCTACCATATTAGAAATAAAAACAGAATTTCAAAAGTACTGATTAACTAAAGTGACAATAAAAAGATTATATGTTAACATAAATTATTTTATCTCTCTTAAAAACTACATTTTCCACAAAAAAAAATTGCGAGAAGAGTAGTGGTGTTTTATATTGTAGCAAATCTCTTTAATACTTGGCCAATAGAAGGCCAGCTAGATGCTCAAGTCCGCTTCTTCATTCAGTCTGTTGCAGTATGTTGTGTTGATTGAAGCACATGAAGAAAATATAGCCTCACACAGATAGATGTTTAAATGGACAAGGGAGGACCTCATGGATTCCCTGAAGTAGAGGAAACATCTTCAACCACATTGAAAGTCACTGGTATAATATATATTCTTTGTGAGACAAGAAGCCTTTTTTGATGCTTGTATGAGAACCATTTATATAATGTACAAAATAGCAAAAATTACTGCTTATTTCTTCAAAAAGCAACTACTACAGGATGTGTTTCAAACTCATCATTTGAATCATTATACATATATACATACAAAACACACTATGTTTTGGACAATGATATATTAATGACAAATTTTAATTTATTGTTTTATCATTTTTTATAAAGATAACATGACTCCATTTTCCAGATATAAGAAAATTTATATCCATCCTTATTACTGTCCCTTTTATTGCCAATATGCATATTTATAAGATGGCTCATTTTAGTTAAGGGTATATTCTAATATTTTTTTTAAGTGAAATGACATAGATAAAACACCTCACTTTCTCCTTATCAGAATTAAGCCTTAACAAATCAGGCTAGTTTCCACAGACACTGTAATATTTTAAATGAACATGTTATTCTCCTTTTACAAAACCACCAATATTCACAGTGGCAACAATTACATATTTTGGGTTAAAAAAACTACTTATATGAAAACATTATGCATATTTGGTATCTATTTTATAGCCATTTCTTATGTGCCGGCATCAGGTTTGACTGATTTGTAGATGAAATACATAATATAGACATCAGTACATGTTTTCCATAAAAGTGTGTTTTGAGTTATAGTAAGGTTAGAAAAGTAAATTCAGTGATAGGAAGTGCACTAGAATATTAAATGTATATTTAACATTCTGATTTTACTTTTTGCAGAGTGGCAAAAATAGTAGCTCCCAAAAAGATAAAACTGGCCGCAGCTGAAGGGGAGCTTAAAATCGCCATGGACAGTCTGAGAAAGAAGCAGGCAGCCCTGCACGAAGTTCAGGCCAAGCTGGCTAAGCTTCAGGACACACTCGAACTAAATAAACAAAAGAAGGCCGACTTGGAAAACCAAGTATGTGATAATAGAGACAAATATGGGCAAATCCTCAATTACTGTAAATAAATAGGATGTTCATGCTAGCACAGAACATCAATCCTGTTTTCTTCCTGATCCGGAGTTAGCAAACTATGACCCACTGGTCAAATCCACCATTGCCCATTTTTGTATGGACTTCAAGCTAACAAATGGCTTTGACATTTTTAAGTGATTACACACCACATGGTTATAAAAGTACCTATATAATATCCTCTCTTTTGCCTTTTGGCCCACAGAGAAGAAAGTATTTACTTTCTGGGCCCTTTCCCCTCCAAAAGAAAAAGAAAGGCCCATCATCATTGCCTTTGATTACTGGAATACTGAGCTTGATTATTTAAATCATTCTTCATGTTATAGGTAAGGAAATGAAGAACCAAAATATTAAGTGGCTTAGGTTGTGTCAGAGTTAAGGAAGAACTGAGATTTGAACTCAATACCTAAAACCACACCATGTCCACCGAAAATGTTTTTAAGTCTAAAAACATTGCTGTAACTTGCATAGGGATAACTTTTTGCAAAAATTAACTGCTAAAATCCAATTATGTTCATAAAATCATCAAAATATTTTATAACAGCCAATATTTATTGAGTCCTTATTATGTGCAAGGCACTGTTCTGACAACAGTATGCATTTTCTCATTTATTCTCTCACAATAGCCTTCTGGAGGAGGTAATCTTCTTGTGCCACTTTGCAGAAACAAGTACAGAAAGATTAAGCAATGTGCCCATGATCAGCCCAGCTTCTAAGCATTAAGGCTAAATCTCAATGCAGGCAGTCTGATAAAAAAAAATTGCGAGAAGAGTAGTGGTGTTTTATATTGTAGCAAATCTCTTTAATACTTGGCCAATAGAAGGCCAGCTAGATGCTCAAGTCCGCTTCTTCATTCAGTCTGTTGCAGTATGTTGTGTTGATTGAAGCACATGAAGAAAATATAGCCTCACACAGATAGATGTTTAAATGGACAAGGGAGGACCTCATGGATTCCCTGAAGTAGAGGAAACATCTTCAACCACATTGAAAGTCACTGGTATAATATATATTCTTTGTGAGACAAGAAGCCTTTTTTGATGCTTGTATGAGAACCATTTATATAATGTACAAAATAGCAAAAATTACTGCTTATTTCTTCAAAAAGCAACTACTACAGGATGTGTTTCAAACTCATCATTTGAATCATTATACATATATACATACAAAACACACTATGTTTTGGACAATGATATATTAATGACAAATTTTAATTTATTGTTTTATCATTTTTTATAAAGATAACATGACTCCATTTTCCAGATATAAGAAAATTTATATCCATCCTTATTACTGTCCCTTTTATTGCCAATATGCATATTTATAAGATGGCTCATTTTAGTTAAGGGTATATTCTAATATTTTTTTTAAGTGAAATGACATAGATAAAACACCTCACTTTCTCCTTATCAGAATTAAGCCTTAACAAATCAGGCTAGTTTCCACAGACACTGTAATATTTTAAATGAACATGTTATTCTCCTTTTACAAAACCACCAATATTCACAGTGGCAACAATTACATATTTTGGGTTAAAAAAACTACTTATATGAAAACATTATGCATATTTGGTATCTATTTTATAGCCATTTCTTATGTGCCGGCATCAGGTTTGACTGATTTGTAGATGAAATACATAATATAGACATCAGTACATGTTTTCCATAAAAGTGTGTTTTGAGTTATAGTAAGGTTAGAAAAGTAAATTCAGTGATAGGAAGTGCACTAGAATATTAAATGTATATTTAACATTCTGATTTTACTTTTTGCAGAGTGGCAAAAATAGTAGCTCCCAAAAAGATAAAACTGGCCGCAGCTGAAGGGGAGCTTAAAATCGCCATGGACAGTCTGAGAAAGAAGCAAGCAGCCCTGCACGAAGTTCAGGCCAAGCTGGCTAAGCTTCAGGACACACTCGAACTAAATAAACAAAAGAAGGCCGACTTGGAAAACCAAGTATGTGATAATAGAGACAAATATGGGCAAATCCTCAATTACTGTAAATAAATAGGATGTTCATGCTAGCACAGAACATCAATCCTGTTTTCTTCCTGGTCCGGAGTTAGCAAACTATGACCCACTGGCCAAATCCACCATTGCCCATTTTTGTATGGACTTCAAGCTAACAAATG